ACAGTAAAATAATGACATCGGGAAATATACCGAAAAAAGTAATTTAAAGGAAAATAAATTCACCAGCAATTTAATCGACCGTCGATTTGTTATGGCCCGTTCTTATGTCTTCCCCTTATAGTCCAGTTTTGTTTTACTCTACGCTAGGAAAAGCAAAGAATAAAGTTCACATTATCGGGTTTTCATTATTACATCCTTCCGTTGTAGAAGAATACATGTATCAACGCTTGGGAATGTCAAAATATCGGAAAATAAAAATCAAAATTATAAAAAGAAAACACTGATGTTTTTCAATTGACCTTAAGCCAAAATAAAGTTAATAAGAACATTTTTAAATGTTTTTTCAAATATAAGTAGATTTTTATATGTTTTCTTATACGATGTCATTCGGAGATTATTATATTTCGCATTTCCAACAATTTTCACAAATTAAAATAATTTTTCATTCAACATTAAAATAATTAAATTAAAAATTAAAATAATTTTTCATTCAACATTGTCAATTCAAAAATTGGTTTGGCAGTTCATTGTTGCAGCAGCTGTGTCGATGCGTCTACCCATGGTACAATGAAGAGAAGGTAGGTCAACTTTGAAAAAATTGCAAGTATAAATGTCTACCTGTTTGGCTTGTAATGTCAAAATTAGTATCAAAACAATAAAAAAATCAAAAAAATAAATAATTGAAAACAAAAAAATAAATAATTGAAAACCGCGATAACTGAATGAAATGTCAAAACCTTTTCAAAATCATGTACTATATATCTCTAAAGGATTATTTCGCTACAAAAAATCTAGATTTGGTCGATGCATACGTTGTAATAAACATTATGAAAACATCCGAATTTGAACATTTTCTGAACAAATTTTTTGTTATTGAAAAGAAAACACATACATAAACAAATAAAGATGACATATTAGGCCAAGAAAATAAAAAAATTAAAATCATATGGTATTATAGCCCTACCTTGATATCATTGTACCATGTATCTACCTATACTCTTCTACCATGCATCCTTCCGTTAAAATAAATGATTTTTTTACAGAGATATGGTAAGCTTTTTTTCAAAAGTAACAGGTGTTCACTGCATTTTTTCATAATGGCATCTTAATTTTAGTTTAAAAATAATAAACAAAACGAATTTGTAATTAATTTCTTGAAATAATTCAATTCTTCAAAACGATCATTTTTTTTATTTAAATAAGTTTTGCTGTTATTGACATATTATCAATATGAAATATGGCAACATAAATTCAGTAACATTTACGTCAAAAGGTAAAGCGAAGATGGCCTGACCTTTTGCTTATCGGACAGTTCATATTTAAATGAAACTTGTAATAACGAAAAACTATTTATGTGCCCGAGATTATTTTCTTATTTATCGAAAAGATATAATTATCGACCTTAGGCCTGTTCTTATATCATTCCTTTACAGTTGACTTAGGAAAAGTAAAAGATAAACTTCGCATTATCGGGTTTTCATTATTACATCTTTCCGTTAAAATAAATGCATTTTTTACAGATATGGCAAACTTTTTTTTAAGGTAACTGGTAGGTACTCCATTTTTTCGACCATAATATGTTAACATTAAAGCTTTTCGCAGGATTAATCTCTTGTATGTCGTACATGCAATGCATTTTTGAACCCTAATCCACTGTGTCAACAAACGTACTATTAATCGCTCCCATTTTTGTCTAGTTAAAAGAGGTCAAAGAAAACATGATATTTTTGTATGTTGTCTTCATTTTTACTAGTTCTTATAGAAACAGTGTTCTTTTAGAAATACTGCATATTCTGGACACAACATATGCGAACAGTCAACTTAGTCTACTTTACATCGACATATGCGTGATAAATCTCTATTTATGAGCCTCAAATAGTTTGGTTTTGACAAATCAGCTGATTGCTTGCAAGTCTTTGCAGATTCCATCTGTTTATTTTTCACAATTTTTATGCAAAATACTACTCTATCAGAAATTGCTGGACAATTCTTGCAGGAAAAGTAACCAGACACACCTATAGTATGGAATCTGAAAAACTTGCAAGCAATCAGCTGATTTATCAAAACCAAACTATTTGTGGCTTATAAATTGAGATTTATCCATGGTAGAAGAATATAGGTAGACGCATCGACACAGCTGCTGGGACAATGAACTGTCAAACCAATTTTGGAATTGAAAATGTTGAATAAAAAATTATTTTAATTTGTAAAAATTCTTGAAAAACGCGAATTATAATAGCCTCCGAATGACGTAGTATAAGAAAACATATAAAAATCTATTTATATTTGAAAAAACATTTAGATTTTTTTTGACATATCAATGCTCCCAAGCGTTGACGCATCTACCTGTATTCTTCTGTCATTGATTTATCACTTATTTATTTAAATTAATTTTTTTAAATTGTTTGTCTTAATATAATATAAAAGGAGAAGAAGTGATTCTTGTGTGATTGCAAGAAGAATTTTACAAATTCTGAGTGAAAGATCTGTCACAATTGTTCTCTTTTGTAGAACGTTTGTTTTAACAGAAGACTTCTAGTAACAATTGCAATAAGGGTAACCAAGCACACCTTATATTTCTTGTTTATGGACGATTCGTCATTTGTTTGACATAAAATCAAGAGACATGCTCTCAAACATTGTAGTGCCGGGAGCAAGCACGATATACACTCTTAGTTTAGTAAACACTAATTATCAATTTTTGTAAAGCCAGACGCTGAAAATACGCTTTAGTCATTAAAACAAAACATTATAGTTTTAAGTATTTCTTTCTTCACTTCAAAATTGTAAATTTTCGTGTTAAAAAAAAAAAGACTCAATAAAAATTTGAATTGAATTTGAATTGAATTGACATAAAATCAATGGAACTGAAATCAAAATTAAAAAAGGTTTATTGAAATCAAGGCTTAAGTGTTAAAGGCATGTTAATTGATATGGCCCAGAACCTGAGAGAATCTACTAGTTTTGAAATTGTTTTCGATATCATAAAGGAATAATCGGTTATCGTAGTAAAAAGCAAAGCAAATGTGATGATTTTTGAGTAAAATAATTGACAAATCAATGAATTATGTTGGATATATATAATATAAACATTTCCCCGAATAGTTTCTAAAATACGCGTTTAAATTAAATTCGTTTATATTCATCATGCATACGACAGTACATGCCTGAAAGTATGCTTCATATTATTAATGTAACATAATTCTAAAGGCAGGGCAACACTGGCAATGACATGAAAATAACGCCATCTATTGAAACACATGATGGGAATGGGCAAAATTTTTGAATTTTTAAAGGAAAATTCCTCATTTTCGCCATGCCATTAAGGCGCCAGAAATTATGCTTTAAAATACTAAAAATAGCAAATGGAGGGTACCACTGGTAAAGGCGTGAAAATATGTACATATATGATAGCATAATTTGAAAATGAATATTTTTTCTATTAAAAAAATTAAATTAATGGTATTTGTTACAGCAGACCCCAGCTTTAACGATGACGGTTTTTATAAACGGCTATTAAAAAAAAACGAGAGGAAACTTTACCGACAATTATACGGTTGATTAATATCTCGATGAAGTCGATATTTGAACTTAAATATTTTTTATTTTTAATAGAATGTTTGTCACCGAAAAAAAGGACAGTCTCGGAGGCCAATTACATACGATTGTCAATAAAAAGGTAAAATGAACTATTGAAAAACTTACTTCCTTTCCTTTTTTTATCAAAAATTTCTTTTAATTTTAGATTTTGGGTAACTATAATTCCAACTTTTCTAAAAGCTGCCCGAGTGTGGCATGGCTGTTGGTGAACCACGGAACTAGCCGTACCGAATTATTAGCTGCTACTAAGTCCTGGAGCTGATTCTTGTTCTATGAAAATATGAAAAAAAATAGTTTCTTTATAAAATTTTTCATTTGACACTTCCTGACATTCATACAGGACAAATTGTGTAGAGCCAGAGCTGTTTTTTTTTATCTATCTTTCTAAAAAAAGTTTTGAATATTGCAGAAGAACAAAAAGAATAGAATAAAACAGCATCAAGGGATTGATGATTTTCCAACTTTTTGGGACGCCTGTGTCACGTCAAGATAACTTTTGGTATTCTGAACAATAATACACGTTGCAGGGTTACTTTTCTACAATGGTAATATTTTTGAATTTATTAGACTAGACCCCGGTTATACTGAAATAATATACAATATTTTATCAAACCAAATACTGGCTGTAAATCCTAAAGTCCAATTAAATTGACATATAATAATTCAATTCCATAGATGATCTTATTATCATGCCTTTATAAGTGTTAAACCCGAATAATTATTATTTTTCAATTTTAAAGCATAATTTCTGGCGCCCTAATGGCGTGGCAAAAGTATGGAATTTGCCTTTAAACAATTTTCATTTTTGCCATTTCCGATCACGTGTTTCAATAGATGGCGCTATTTACATGTCATTGCCAGTGTTACCCCTTAATTGTTATTATTCTATGTATGCTGAAGCATAATTTGAGGCGCCGTATTACCGATCTCAGAAATAAAAACACAAACAATGTTTATCAAAAACAAAATTCTTTATTGAAGGAAAAACTATTGAAAATATATTATATAATAAATCATATAGATAGAAACAAATAGGAAAGCAGCAGGGCTTCAATTCTTGTTCTATGAAAATGAAAAATGAAAACCTGAATAAAGGCAGGGGAAAATTTTGAAAAGAAAAATACTTCAGTTTACATTTTTATAGATTAAGAATCAAGCCAGTGTTCTGTTGCAGTACCTGCAAGAATATATTAGTTGCAATTTTATTCGATATCATATAGGAAAGATCTGATATCGTGGTAAAAAATTGTACATACTTGCAGCTCTGGAACAGAGCATAGGTATATTTTTTTTGTAAAATATTACCTAAATAGATATATGTGGGCTACATTTATATTTGACAAAATTCTATAACTACTTTGGGATAAAATGAAGGTCTTACTGAAGTATCGAAATATTAGTTTAGATTACAAAAAGCATAGTTTATTAAGGCATATAATTCTTATATATTTTTTAAAAAAGTTACCAAAAAACAAACTTTTAATAAGAAAACATATTCCAAAATGAAATTGAATTGTATCTTAAAAATAGATATTTTTGCGTTTGACGTATCAGCTAAATTAGGATTCATTTTGTTAAAGCGAGTTTTTCTTCGTTTTTTTTAATTTTTTACTTTTTATAATTCCATTGTAATTGTTAATTGGTCAAATAGTTTTTTTTTTGTGTTTCAATAAAATGTTAACAAAGTTGTAGGATTTTGAACCCAACTCTTCTCTGGTTTCTTATTGCAGATCGGAAATTGGCCCTCTATTAAACGGGTATGCCAGTGCGATCCTTGATTTTACCCAAAACATTAACATGCACCTTGGCATAGCCACTGGATTTTTTGCCCAAAGTACCAAGGCTACCACTGGGGGCTGTGCCCAATGGTGTGGCGGTGGTGGCACCAGCTGCCACATCTATCGATGATGACGAGAGTGGTGAAGAATGTTTCGAATCACTGTGATGCGGCTGGGATGAGCGATGCGTTGATTCATGCGAGGATAATAGATCATCAGTACTCGGTCGCACATGAGACGAGGTCGATGGTGTATAAATTGGTTGTAGTTTATCGACTTCATCATCGATGGCCTTGAATTGCCAACTCCAATTGGCACGATACAAAAATGGACGATGATCGAAACGATTGTCGTCGGGACTATAACTTTCGGCATGCACTGAGGGTGTTAAAACCGTCATTTTGTGACGATTAATGGCATAGCATCTAAAGAAATGTTTAACTTTATCAGCCACCTCTTTGGGACTTAAATCACCTTTCCATGTGGCAACGAGACGACAGAACATACTGTATGGTCCACAGCAGGCTTGCTTTCGCAGACGGCCATATTCACTCAATTCGGCATAGGTCATACCCATATCTTGTTCATCCGTTTGCATAAGTTGGCCATCTTGCAATGGCTCCAATTCGGCAGTGGGTGGTGCATCAATAATTGACTCAAGCACAGGTAAATTGAATCTGAAAAGGAGAAAAAAGAAAACAATAAAAATTCTCCATTAATTTCAATTATTTTCTTTTTGCAGTTTTTTTTATCATTGGAACTATTGGAAACAGAGAAGTACAAATGATGTTAGTAAATTTTGTTCCCAAAAAGTCGATGATTGTATCCCAAATGATAATTAAAATAATCAGATTTTTTTATTCTGATAGACTTTTAAAAACACTGTTTGTGGCCGAGGCTTGCATCACAATTTTGCCAAATAAATCCAGAAATAATTTTAAATTTTAGCTCTGCTAGGGCTCCTGAATTATTCCAAAATTTGTTGTCCTAATAATTTTTAAAACTTAAACTAAATTATAATAATTAAAACTTTACTTACTTGTCTTTGGCATAGATTAAAAATCGTCTCAAATCCGTTTTCGAAATACCACCAATAGGATTAACATCAGCCGACGAGCAGTCGTATTTCGTCAAATAACCTCTCAGCGACTCGTCGACATTGGCCGAGCCCAATACCAATAAACCACCGGGACGATTACGCACCCACAACATAAGCTGGGCAAAAATATACGCCAATACCATGCGAATGCGTGATTGTATATTTTGTAAGGCCAAATTCTGGCGGGCACAGCCACCTTGAGTACGGAAGCGTGGCGTCAATCCCGTTACAGCATTGAAAATACCCAACAGGGCATTCACGGCCGTATCAATGCTTATCTCAATGTGATAGCTACCCAATTGATTGGCCAGCTGAGAGGCACGACGACGTGTTTCTTTGCTGGAGTTAACACTGCCCATGAAACAGGTTACCAACAGGCGATTACACAAGGCAGCTGGGTTATCGGGTGTATATTCGTGATCGGCCAATATTTTACGTATGTCATGCAACACTTGGGCATCGCCCTGCTGAACGGCTTGCACAATCATGCGACACATTGAATGCACAATGGTTGCAGAACTGCTCGAGTCAACACCACCGGACAGAGGCAAAAAGAAACCACCCTGTCCGGAACGTCTCAAATAGTCCCACAGCCAACAAGCCGGACCCATGGCAATTTCTTCTTCGGGCGTCTGATAGATCCATTGTATCGGCGTACTGGCAGTTTTAAAGATATCACAATGGGTGGACATTTCGAAATCACAATTGATACGTGGATATGTTGGCGCCGAGGCAGCCATTGAACAACGGGAACGTTGTGACACACGATAGGCACGTATCTCCTCCAAATCGATGGTGGCCAATGTCACTTCGACATCTTGCAGCGAAAATTGTTTGCCTCGCGCCACAATTTCACCGTTCAAGGCTATGGCAGAGCAACCATTGAAATAGACACGCTGGCCGTCGCAACCACGTAAATTACTAAAGAGATAGGCACCGCCAGCCTTAAAACTGGCATTACGTATTAAATCGGTGGTAATGTGGGCTTTGCGCAATTCCATATAGCTACCGGAACTGTTAACTATAATTTCAACACCGGACAGGGACATGTCAATGTGTTTGCTGGAAAGAGGAAAAAAAAGATCATCAAAGATGAAATAATAAAGAAAATAAGAAGAATAACTGGCTTAATCGGTCGTTGAGAATACCCAAAGAACGGATTTTGAAATTTTCTAGAATGGTAAAATTTTGAGATATATAAAATTTGGACCAAGTCTGGACAGATTTGCCAAAATAATGATCCCCGTATATCCAAAGCATACCAGTGAAAAGCCTCCTGTCAGAAGAATATTTGACGAAATCTTCTAGCTCGGGGAATTTACAAAATATAAAGTCTGATATTTTTGTCTATAGTAGAAAGTCTTCTATCAATGAAACGCTTGAAGAAATTTTTTAGAGGTTCTGATCTTAAATTCAGCGAAACGTAAGGAAGGCTTTAATTTAGGTAAAAGCAGAAGAAATTCCATTCATACGATATAAAAAACCGAAATGTAAAAGTATACAGTTGGACCTATAGAAGCCTTTTAAATTTTAGGTTAAAAAACTTGAGGTCTGACAACTTTTGTTTGTAGAAAAAGGACTTCTATGTATGGAAAGTATAACGAAATTCTTTATCTATGGAATGCCTGAAGAAGGCCTTTGTCTTTGGAAAAATGTATGAAAGTCTTTTAGGAGATCTGAGGAAGGTCTTCCAACTAGCGGTATGTATAAAAACATTTAGGGAAGGATTTTATCTATAGAAAATCTGAAGAAATTCGATCTATATGAGATCTTTGGAAATGCTTTATATGTATAAATAAATATTTTACCTACAGAATGCCTCAAGGTACCCTATTCTTAAAAAAATTAAAATCTCCCATATCTAGGAATCTGCAGATCTTTTGAAGTTCTTTTATCAAAGAGGCCTGCGGATGGGATGATAGCTAAAAATCTGAAGAGTGTCTATCTATTGCATTCAATGAATTAAACAAATTTTAACCTTGTGTGGAGGAAGATGGTCTATAAACGTGTACTAAGTGTGTTAGGAAATATGTTAAAGCTCGAATCGGTAGTTCCCTTTGGGTTATTAAGGTAGAAGGACATATGGACCTAGCTAGATCTATTCCAAATGTATTTGGAAGGACTTTTCTTGAACAACTAAGGGACACTATAACCATAGTTTTGATATGATAAATTTTTGGCTGTTTCTAATGACATATACCTTCTGCAGCTATACGATTGGAAGGAATAAATATGATAGGTTATAGAAATGCGACATTGAAAATTGAAAAACAATTCCTACCAAGGCCCTATATAAGATCGGCCAAGAAGACTGTTTTTAATAATAATTTCACACTAAACATAGTAGTATTTTCACTACTGTGATTGACTCCCTTTGAGTTTCAAAGATGTGCTTACTGGCCGACCTTATATAGGTCATGATGCCTACATAAGGTAAAACCTGAAGACAATATTTTGAGAACAAGTTGACAATAATTTTTTTTGCTTTTCACTATTGTGATTTGAGTTTCCTAGAATTTCAAAAAAGCGTTTCTATTTCGACAGTAAATTTAGTTGTCAGATGGGCTTTACTGGGCGACCTTATATAGGTCATGTTTATGACTAAGTAAGGGAAATCACTTTCTTGATAGTGCATTCTTAGTTTGTTAAGTAGCATAGTCCAAATCCTTGCTTTGTGCCATTTTTCAATTGAGTTTCTTTTTTTTTTGTCAGAAAATCTCACCTCTTGACATTCCACAATTCCTCACAGATTTCATAGCCAATGCATGTATCTTTTGTGGCAATGACAGCATCGCCAAATGGCACTGTATCTTGGCCCGTGTGTTGTGAAATCATACGTGGCAAATAAAAGTCTTCAATTTGCAGGGACTGAAATGAAAGTAGAACGTAAACAAAATTTAGCATTTGAATTTGAAAAATCGTCCACAACATTCTTACCTTGGTCCATGGTGTAAACCATCTTGTCTCGCGATAATTGCCATCATCACAATTTGACATTTTGGGTCGTATTAATAAAATCTTACGATTAAAGAAGGCCACGCGACAATTGTAGGCCACATTGCGATGCATTACAGGCATGCCAACATCGATTAACATGTTTTCACTGAAAGAAAATTGGGGTTTGATTATAGAAGTTCTATAAAGGGAATCATGGCATGCCTTGACTTACCATATGGGTGACATCATAATTTCCAATAAAACTTCCCACGAGTGGAGGTATGTGTCGGGTTCCCGAAAGTGATCTTCACAGCTGTAACCACTGTAAAATATTAAAAGTGAATTTGGTTAAATTTTTTTAAACTGCGATTTAGGTATTTGGATAAGGTATTCGGTTAATGACAACGTTTGAAATTAAAAATATATTAGAGGAATTGGATGTTGGAATCTTAATCTACATATATGACTATATAGGATCTGGAAAATTGTGTGTGCCATCGAGTCGAATAAAATGAATTTCCTCGAAGTGTAAGAGCTCCAAATATACCTAAATATTAACTTTTATTCTGTAGCCTTTCTGTGCATACTTTAAGGAGCAAAAATCAGCAAATAGTGCGAAAGTGATGTAAAGACTACTTAAAAAAAAATTGAGAAATCGAGACGAAAGGCAATATATATTTAAAGGAATTCTCTCAAAATGTACAAAAGAGCCATATATTCTCCATGACAAGATATGGAAAGAAAAATAAATGCGACCAATTTATGGCTGGAACTTTAATATGCATTGCGTAGATTAAGAGCTGGAATCCGGAAATATTTTCCTCTTATTGAGATGAAAAAAGTATTCAAACAGTATACTTGAACGAATTTCTTTAAAGTGTAAGGGCTCCATCTACAATCATTGAAATATTGAATGAAAGCAAAAAAAGTCGGAAATAGCGTCAAATTTTAGAATATATTAAGATTTGTTCGAATTGGTCACCTTTGACACGATTTATAGCCTTCAGGCGGCCAATGAAACCGTCACACGCTGCCCGAATGTTGCTCTGCGGTATTTTGACCCATTCGCTTGCTTGAGGTGATCGACGCTTTGGTATTTTTAATGCCAACCTTGCTTTCCAATATACTCCAGATACAATAGTCCAACGGATTGGTATCCGGAGATTTTGGTGGTCATTGTGCGCTGGAAATGAAACGAGGCACCCAATTTCGTAACCATTCTTGGATGGCGTGTGCTGAATGCGATGGTGCTGAGTCCTGTTGGTCTGCGGCCAAAATGTTTGCGTGCCCAAGGCTTTAATACACCTTCCAGAATATTTTCGCGATAATATTCGGCATTTATTCTGATGCCACGGTCGATTAATACAAGCGGAGAGTGACCATCGGCTTTATATGGCCTCACCATGGCGGGCGCTTGAGTTCCGGTGGCCAAACGAAGGTGCACATTTTTAGCTGACCTCTTTGGCAAGTAAACACGATCATTTTGTTTGTTTACAAACTACTGGACAACGAATGTTTTCTCATCGGAGAAAACCAAATTCGGCAGTTCACCACTTTTGGCCAAGCGAATTAACTCTTAAGCTCTTTTAAGTCTATTTTCTTTCTGTTGCGGTGTAAGTTCGTAGGCTGTAGTACCCGTTATGACCTTCAAATGCGAAATTTAGAACAAATCAGTTGAAAAATGTCGCTAATATCATCAAAATACCGAAAAAAACAATCCCAGTCTATAATGTCTCTAATAAAAAAAATAATAACAGACTATATGGGGCTATGCGAAGGCTTACTCTTTTTTGACGTAGGTTGTAGTACCCATTAAGATCTCCTAATACGAAATTTGAAATGATTCCGGTAAATAATGTTGCTGAAGACATCATAATACCGACTATCGGGAAGTACCTTTATATGGGAGCTGTTCGAAGACGTGGACCTGCATACACAAATTTTTGTCATAGGCCGTAGTACTCGTAATGGGTACTTCAAATACGAAATTTGAAATAATTCTGGTTAATAATGTCATGAAAATATCGCATATCGGGAGATACCGTTATATGGGGCTATACGAAAATTGTTCCGACATGACCCATTTTTGAACTTAACTTGTCTACTGGCCAAGAAACATTGGTGATATTGACCGTTTAATACTGTATTTTTTCTATTTCTATGTTACTCCTCAGACTTATCAACATCCATCATATCCATATTCGAATCTTAATATTGAAAATAAGTTGCTTTAAGTTGCTTAATTTTTATAAAAAAAACATAGATTACGAAAAACACCCATTTGCCATGTTCGCAAATTGTATCTCCTCAATTATTCATTATTGAAGGAATGATTTCTCTCAAAAAAATGTTTTTCATGGGAATAAAATTATGTGCGGATTTTCATGAGTATATAAATATTACATACTTACCACACTTCCAATTCGGGACCCGTGCGATATGAAGCACCCATATCTTTGGCTTCCATTATTGATTGTAGGATGCGCGCGAGATTGCCTTCAAAGTCCAAGGCCCATTGGTTGAGGGTTGAGACGGCCACAGTAATTTTACGACCCATGATGCCTATTGATTTTTTAGTTAGTTTGTTTTTTTTTTTTTTTCAAAATAAAATGTTATAACAGAATATAACAGTTAATTGTTTTATTGTCAAGGTGATTGTTATTGTTGGTAGTCTTCTTCAAAGGTTGTGGGAGGAAAGGCCAATTATTTTCTGTTGTTGTTTTTTTTTCTTTAAATTATACAAGAATATTGGTAAGATAAAAATCAGCACGCAACAAGTCAATAGTCTGTAAGGAAAAAATATAAAAATAATAGAAAAATGTATTAGACAATTTGACAACAACAACTACTAAATATGTATGTATATATATGTATAAAACCTATTTAGAAAAAACAATCACTAAATGGTTTATTTTCATACAATTATTCAATTACTGGATAATTGCGCAATTTTTTCAAGAACAACGACAACAACAACAACAAAACACGGACAACCAAATGACTCACTCTGTCCCACTCACTTTATACTTAGCCGAGTAATTGACATAGACGTAGGACATAGTATGTCCTTAGTTAGTCGTCATAAATGCACTTTCAGATTTACCCAAGTACTACTGACTGCACTTAAGAAATGTTTTGAGGCAAATAAACACTTTACAAGGATAGCGTCAAGGAACCCAGTTCCTTGGCAGCCGGAATGCAGCGATAGCAGAGTTTGTTTGGTGTTTGTTTACATGTTGTGAAGTAGTGATGGCGGTAGTGGTAGTAGTTGACTTTGTTTGACGCTGACTTGATTGCTACTGTTGTTGTTGCCATGTGCGCGACGCCATCATTACTGACGTCTTTTTTTGGTTTCGTTGCCGTCAGTTGATAAGGAGTTGTTATTTATGGGGATATAAGGTGGAAACGACAAATGGTCGATTGGAGTAGGCGATTCTGAACAAAAAAGATTTATTTGGAATTCATTTAAATATTCGGATAGCGCCATCTGTATGTTGTTATCTTCACAATAAGTAATTCTCTGAGAAGCTTAAATTACAGAGCATACTTTTAGGTTAAAATGCTTAAATCTTTTACAGAGACTTTAACGACGATTTTAGATCGACCTTCACGGATGACTAAGAGTTTTGTTTTTAATTTTTTTGTAGAACGCCATCTGTACGTTGATATAGTCGGAATGAGTAATTCTCTGAGAAGCATAAACTGATCACTATCATCATTACTGATGGATTTCTTTCGGTTTCGTTGCCGTCAGTTGTCGTGGAAACGACAAAGGGTAGATTGATGTAGGCGATTCTAAACAAAAACAGAATTATTTGGAATTCATTTAAATATTCGCATAGCGCCATCTGGATGTTGTATCTTGAGAATAAGTGATTCTCTGTGAAGCATAAATTGAAGAGTAGACTTTTAGGTTAAAATGCTTAAATCTTTTACTCAGACTTTAACGAAGATTTTAGATCGACTTTCACGGATAGCTAAGAGTTGGGAACTGTTTTAATTATTCGTAGAACGCCATCTGTACGTTGATATAGTCGGAATGTGTAATTTTCTGAGAAGCATAAATTGATCACTATCATCATTTTTCGTCTTTTTTTCGGTTTCGTTGCCGTCAGTTGATAAGGAGTTGCTATTTATGGGGATATAAGGTGGAAACGACAAATGGTCGATTGGAGTAGGCGATTCTGAACAAAAACAAAATTATTGGGAATTCATATTAAAATTCGCATAGCGCCATCTGGATGTTGTTATCTTCACAATAAGTAGTTCTCTGAGAAGCTTAAATTACAGAGCACACTTTTAGGTTAAAATGCTTAAATCTTTTACTGAGACTTTAACGAAGATTTTAGATCGACATTCGCGATTCACTAAGAGTTGGGAACTGTTTTAATTTTTCGTAGAACGCCATCTGTACGTTGATATAGTCGGAATGAGTAATTCTCTGAGAAGCATAAATTGAAGAGTATACTTTTGGGTTTATGGCTATATCTACGGCTTAGACATTAACTACGATTTTTGATCGACTTTCACGAATAAAAAACTTTTTCAAATTTCATAGAGCGCCATCTTTATGTTGACTATTGGTGGATTTTTTTCTTAAGGGTTCATTTGTGGATTTTCAAAGCATATCCATGAGGGACTATTCGAAATAGTTAAAACATTTTCTTTAGCGACTTTTTGAAGCATAATCTTGAGGAACCATTCCTGGATATTTCGAAAATTTCCAATTTTCAAAATTTTTTATAGTATTCTGAAGCGAATATTCGAGAATATTTATGAATTTTTTAAGAATATTCTGCAGCGAATATTCGTGGATTTCTGAAGAACATTCTGGAGCTAATATTTGTGAATTTTTAAGGGAGTGAATATTCGTGGATTTTTAAAGAAAATTTTGAAGCGAATAATCCTGAATTTTTTAGCAGTATTCTGGGGCAAAGATTCGTGGAATTTTAAACCAGATACTTGATAATATTCCACAGCGAATATTCGTGGATTTTTTAAGCAGATTCTTGAGAATATTCCGCAGGGAATATTCATAGATTTCTGAGGCTGATTCTTGTTAAAATTCCGCAGCGAATATTCGTGGATTTTAAAAGCAGATTCTTGAGAATATTTAGCAGCGAATATTCGTGGATTTTTAAAGTAGATTCTTGAGAATATTCCGCAGCGAATATTCGTAGATTTCCGAAGCTGATTCTTGAGAATATTCAGTACCGAATATTCGTGGATTTTTCAAAACAGATTCTTGTGAATATTCCGCAGCGAATATTCGTGGATTTTTCAAAGCAGATTCTTGAGAATTTTCCGCAGCGAACATTCGTGGATTTTTCAAAGCAGATTCTTGTGAATATTCCGCAGCGAATATTCGTGAATATTCGTGGATTTTTAAAGCAGATTCTTGTGAATATTCCGCAGGGAATATTCGTGGATTTTTCAAAGCAGATTCTTGTGAATATTCCGCAGCGAATATTCGTGAATATTCGTGGATTTTTAAAGCAGATTCTTGTGAATATTCCGCAGGGAATATTCGTGGATTTTTCAAAGCAGATTCTTGTGAATATTCCGCAGCGAATATTCGTGAATTTTTCAAAGTAGATTCTTGTGAATATTCCGCAGCGAATATTCGTGGATTTTTCAAAGCAGATTCTTGTGAATATTCCGCAGCGAATATTCATGAATTTTTCAAAGCAGATTCTTGTGAATATTCCGCAGCGAATATCGTGGATTTTAAAGCCGAATCTTGAGAATATTCCGTAGCGAATATTCGTGGAATTTTAAAGCAGATTCTTGAGAGTATTCCGCAGAGAATATTCGTGAATTTTTCGAAGCAGATTCTTGTGAATATTCCGCAGCGAATATTCGTGGATTTTTCAAAGCAGATTCTTGTGAATATTCCGCAGCGAATATTCGTGGATTTTTAAAGCAGATTCTTGAGAATATTCCGCAGCGAATATTCGTGGATTTTTCAAAGCAGATTCTTGAGAATATTCCGCAGCGAATATTCGTGGATTTTTCAAAGCAGATTCTTGAGAATATTCCGCAGCGAATATTCGTGGATTTTTAAAGCAGATTCTTGAGAATATTCCGCAGAGAATATTCGTGAATTTTTCAAAGCAGATTCTTGTGAATATTCCGCAGCGAATATTCGTGGATTTTTCAAAGCAGATTCTTGAGAATAATCCGCAGCGAATATTCGTGGATTTTTAAAGCAGATTCTTGAGAATATTCCGCAGAGAATATTCGTGAATTTTTCAAAGCAGATTCTTGTGAATATTCCGCAGCGAATATTCGTGGATTTTTCAAAGCAGATTCTTGAGAATATTCCGCAGCGAATATTCGTGGATTTTTAAAGCAGATTCTTGTGAATATTCCGCAGCGAATATTCGTGGATTTTTTAAAGCAGATTCTTGAGAATATTCCGCAGCGAATATTCGTGGATTTTTCAAAGCAGATTCGTTGATTCGAATATTCGTTGATTTCTAAAGCAGATTCTTGAAAATATTCAGCAGCGAATATTCGTGGATTTTTAAAGCAGATTCTTGAAAATATTCGTGGATTTTTAAAGCAGATTCTTGAAAATATTCGTGGATTTTTAAAGCAGATTCTTGAAAATATTCGTGGATTTTTAAAGAAAAATTTGAAGCGAATATTCCTGATTTTTTTAGCAACAATCAACAACAAAGATTCGTGGAATTTTAAAGCAGATTCTTGTTAATATTCCGCAGCGAATATTCGTGATTTTTTCAAAGCAGATTCTTGAAAATATTTCGCAGCGAATATTCGTGGATTTTCAAAGCAGATTCTTGAAAATATTTCGCAGCGAATAATCGTGGATTTTCAAAGCAGATTCTTGAAAATATTTCGCAGTGAACAATCTAGGATTTTTTTGTTCTAAGGACCTATTTACGGATTGTTGAAGGATATTCTAACACAAATTGTTCGCGGATTTTGCTTAAGAATATCCTTAATAGGATATTTCGAGTCTATTGTTCATTGATCCCCCCTTATACACATTTTCGCCTTTTGTTGTTTAACTTTGCCAGCTATTTAGGTTGTTAGGAACAACGCCATCAAACGTTGTGTGCCAGCCGAATGACGTTGACAGGTGTTTGGGCAAAGGAAGACGACATCAGCAGCGAAGAAGACGACGACTGTGTTGTGAATTGTTAAGAAATTATGACACAAACAATGAGAATGAGAGCTGAATGAATAGAACGCCCCGTGAGAAACCAAATGCTATGGAATTTCCATATCGATCAAGCAAAGGTAAAAAAAAACTTATTTAAGCGTTTACGTATGACTGGTTAACATTGGTTACGACAAAACAATTACTGTTAATGAAAAGGAGGTATGAGCATGGTGTTGTTGGTGAAAAGGTCAGTGAACAATGTAAGGTTGGAAGAGAGTATTTTTTTAACTTCTACCTTATGGTTATACCCTTTGTTTTGATACAGACAAATATAAATATTTGAAGTTTAAAAAAATTGCATACATTTCCATTTCATTACACAATGCAATGCAATAACACATCTGACCTTTACAGTTCGCAATTTAATAACGAGTCTTCAATTGTTCAACAAGATTTCCAAAAAATAGAAAAGTTCATTGCATTTGAAACGAAAATCAATTTTACAGTTTCCGATTTCCTTCTAATGTTAGTGCATATCTTTTCAAAATAAATTGCCGGAAATTGTCGAGAAATGCAATGGAAATATTGGCAATGCATTTGACGTCAAAACGAACGAGGAGAAGAAGAAAATGAGATGTTAAACACTTCTCTATGAATTCGTAAGAAATTGAGGGCAATCATTTTGTATAAGAATATAGATATGTATAGTTTGTATGTAAATATTTGTATGAGATTTTTTTTTCGATTTTGGACATCAAAAATTTCGAAAAAGAAAATATTAAAAAACAAGTAAGCAAAGGCTATAGTCGTGCGGGCCGACCATGTGATACCCTACAACACTACAATATGTTTGAAGTCACTTTTGTCCAAATCAATTTTGGAAGATTTCGGTTTTGAAAAAAAAAAATAATAATGTCACTGTTCTTAAATTCCGTGTCGATAAGTTTTCAATTGTGGCCTATAGAGCGACTACAAAATTAGAAAAAAAATGTTTTTAGTCAATTTGCACCTCTAAATGTCCATATTAAGAACAAGAGGCTTTAATTTTGACCCCATGAAAAATTTCGTGAGGATTGGATGATAATTGCGACATGCATATAATACCCACAAAACGTAGTGTTAGGGGGGGTGTAAAAATTTAGCAAATTTACAATTCAAAATTGTTAGTCAAATTAAAAAAATCGCATGTGATAAAAATATGACAAAAATTGAAAAAAATCGAAAAAAGATAGTCACTTTTTTATTGGTATAATTTTCTGCGAATTTGTTAGATTTTATCGTTTTCTGGCAAGAGACCATTTCGAATTTATTGGAATTGTGAAAATCGGCCCAGCGGTTTTTTATGTATATGCAGAACTCTTTTTACATATATATATATATATATATATATATATATATATATATATATATATATATATATATATATATATATATATATATATATATATATATATATATATATATATATATATATATATATATATATTGTATCTATTTTGCTATATATCCCCTAAATATATTGCGAACATCTTTGAAAACAATAGGCCTAGCCCTTCTCAGCCTAACCCCACCCTTTTTCGTGAGGATCGGACCTGTTCGTCTATTTGTGATTTCGCCGGGATTAAAAATATTCGATGTTCAATGGAAAATTTCACTTTTATTTAACACAAATATTGTGGCATATTTCACCCACTAAATATTACCCGATGACCATCAAAATTGGAAGTCTTCTGCCCAGCCCTAAACTCTAGCCCCATGCTATTGGTCCATAATTGCGACCGGTAGAGCAACTGCAAAATCAGGAATTTTTTCAGTTTTTGGTCCATTTCAACCCCTAAATATTATGCGATCATCTCCAAAAGAAATAGGGTTCTATTCTGACCCTAGCCCCAACTCCATTCTAAATTTCGTGAAGATCGGGCCATAATTGCGACCTGTAGAGTGATTACAAATTAACATGGACAGACGGACGGACGGACATACATAGCTAGATCGACTCAGCTCGGCGAGATAGGAAGATCCATATATACACAGAGAAAAAAATTAACCTTATACAAGGTTAGCTTAACCATAAATAAACATGATTTGGAGTCTACGTTATGTAAGGTTAATTTAAACATTTTCTTGTTGACTGGTATTTAAAAATAATCATCGTTAATTTAGCTATTCCATGTTTGACTTTTTTAACCACGAAAATTGTTGATATTGAAAAAAATTGTTGTTTTAACAATGCACTGTTAAATTTTTGTAACCATGAGAATTGTTAATAATAACATTTCATACACAGAGCCGAAAATACAATGACTTTTTTAACCATGTGCATGGTTAATTTTTTCATGGTAAATGTTTGAGATTACAAACACAAATTAACGTTATATAAGGTCAAATGTAGATGAAAAATAGTTTAATTAACGTTGTATAAGGTTGTTGTTTTTTGAGAGAGACGGAAAAATGTGAGAGATACATAAAAATTTAAAGAGCCTTCGGCTCTGTTGTGGTCAACAATTTTGAACTGCTTTGTGTTTGACGAAGTTCAATATTACAATATACGAAGTTGCAACGAATGTGACTGTCATATTCCCCCTCCTCCTCTTTATCGAATCTCTTTCTGTGGTCTGAATATGTGTAAGAAAGATCAAATAGACAATCACTTCTTTAGTTGGTGTTGAATAGTGCAAGGGAGTAGTGCACGTGCTCGTGGGAATAGTGCTTGGTATAAAGGTAAGTAAAAGCTGGTGAAATTAACAAATATATTTGATTGTAATTTGTATTTGTTTTAATAGAAAACCCTGATACTATTTCAACATAGTAATGTGTTATTGCTATATTCAAATTGTATCGGATTTGTCTATCAAATAAACTATAAATTACAATAAAGAAACAAAAATAACGGTAATACATTAAAAAACAAGCAACAACAACGTATATGCAGCGGCAAGCAAAAATGAGGAGAGAAATAATGTGTGAGTGTTTATTCATACATATGTGTTCTTTTTGTCTTGTGGCTGCTACGACGTACATTAGCGTATGCATTTGTCACCAAATGTACGTTGTTGTTGTTGGTAAGTTGTGACAATACTATTTGCTTTTATTAACTACTAGTTTCTTTTTCTGTTTTTGCAGTCGGTGTTTGGCGTTTTGTAGTTTTTTTCACAATGGCTGAGGAATATAATTTAAAATCACTCGGTAAGGCGTTAAAAAATAAAATTTATATTAAACATATATCTTTCTTTACCAGCCCTCCCTTAAATATACATACAATTTGTAATGGAAATACATATTTTAGAAATATGCGGTATTAATAAATAAATAATAAATAAACTTGTAAAAATTACATTTTTCTTGTTTTATTCAAACAAAGGTTAATTTATTATTAAAAATTATCATATGAACTGTTTAGATAAACTGACTATGAAATGTTATTATTAACAATTCTCATGGTTACAAAAATTTAACAGTGCATTGTTAAAACAACAATTTTTTTCAATATCAACAATTTTCGTGGTTAAAAAAGTCAAACATGGAATAGCTAAATTAACGATGATTATTTTTAAATACCAGTCAACAAGAAAATGTTTAAATTAACCTTACATAACGTAGACTCCAAATCATGTTTATTTATGGTTAAGCTAACCTTGTATAAGGTTAATTTTTTTCTCTGTGTAGTCAGTTTATCTAAACAGTTCATATGATAATTTTTAATAATAAATTAACCTTTGTTTGAATAAAACAAGAAAAATGTAATTTTTACAAGTTTATTTATTATTTATTTATTAATACCGCATATTTCTAAAATATGTATTTCCATTACAAATTGTATGTATATTTAAGGGAGGGCTGGTAAAGAAAGATATATGTTTAATATAAATTTTATTTTTTAACGCCTTACCGAGTGATTTTAAATTATATTCCTCAGCCATTGTGAAAAAAACTACAAAACGCCAAACACCGACTGCAAAAACAGAAAAAGAAACTAGTAGTTAATAAAAGCAAATAGTATTGTCACAACTTACCAACAACAACAACGTACATTTGGTGACAAATGCATACGCTAATGTACGTCGTAGCAGCCACAAGACAAAAAGAACACATATGTATGAATAAACACTCACACATTATTTCTCTCCTCATTTTTGCTTGCCGCTGCATATACGTTGTTGTTGCTTGTTTTTTAATGTATTACCGTTATTTTTGTTTCTTTATTGTAATTTATAGTTTATTTGATAGACAAATCCGATACAATTTGAATATAGCAATAACACATTACTATGTTGAAATAGTATCAGGGTTTTCTATTAAAACAAATACAAATTACAATCAAATATATTTGTTAATTTCACCAGCTTTTACTTACCTTTATACCAAGCACTATTCCCACGAGCACGTGCACTACTCCCTTGCACTATTCAACACCAACTAAAGAAGTGATTGTCTATTTGATCTTTCTTACACATATTCAGACCACAGAAAGAGATTCGATAAAGAGGAGGAGGGGGAATATGACAGTCACATTCGTTGCAACTTCGTATATTGTAATATTGAACTTCGTCAAACACAAAGCAGTTCAAAATTGTTGACCACAACAGAGCCGAAGGCTCTTTAAATTTTTATGTATCTCTCACATTTTTCCGTCTCTCTCAAAAAACAACAACCTTATACAACGTTAATTAAACTATTTTTCATCTACATTTGACCTTATATAACGTTAATTTGTGTTTGTAATCTCAAACATTTACCATGAAAAAATTAACCATGCACATGGTTAAAAAAGTCATTGTATTTTCGGCTCTGTGTACTTTCCTATATGGGAAACCAATATTTCGTGGTGTTACATAATTTTTGGCCCAATCAAACTTATAATACCCCCAACACATAGTGTTGTAGGGTGTAAAAACAAAAAAAAATCCATCCCTGGCGATTTTTGGGAAGAATTTATTTTTAAGTACTGACAGTTAGGATTAAGTCTCAGATGAAAACCTCCCCAATCAAAATAAGATAGCTGTTCACTCCGTGGTCAGCGGTTCAATGTATTTATCTCACCCGAAATTTATCTCATAATTGTCTCGGATGAATTTGAGACAATTTTGGGACAAGTTTCCACCATTAGGGATTAAGGAACAAAAGACGAATTTTAAAATTTTATTGAAGGGTTTGTATCTGACCTAAGTCTAATATAAATATAACAATGTTCCAGATTTGGACTATGTACACCACTCGCTTCACTTTATATCAGATATGTGAACATTTTTGGGTAATGTTGCAATGAGCGTGAGATGTCAGATATTGTGAAAAAATATTGGGATGTGCCGAATTTAAAGAAAATCAAGCATTTATTTCCAATTTTATGCGAATAATTTTTAATTCAAATGTTAACCTTTTGTGGGGAAGATATCAGAAGGAGTAGGCCGATATCTACCACCTTCACGCCAGATCTTGCGTTGATATATGTATATTGGGATGTGCCGAGTTTGAAGAGAATCGGATTATTACTTCGGTAATTCAAATTACTTTGGTAATTCAAAATTTTTACCCGTTGTGGGGAGGTACTAGAAGGGGTATCTCTTCTTCAGGATGTCCAAATTAGAAGACATTCGGACTATTTGTTCGCATTTTATAAGAGTTATAGTTATTCAAAATTTTGAAAATTTGGCGGAATGCCGATATTATTTTCTCACCTGACCGTGGACTGATACAATTATTAGGACTGGCAATATTTGCACAAAATCGAATGTTACTTTCTTGTTCTATAGGGTAAATTATATTATGTGCAAATGTTGACCTTTAGAGGGGAATGTAGCAGAAGGAGTGGTCCGATATTGCCCTTCTCCGAACTTGATCTAAGCTTGATAATGATTCGTATGCACGAGCCAAACCGTCAAAAGAGATCTAGAGTCTAAAACCGTTATTTGGAAGAGTCATACTTTGTCCGTATCAAATTGTACAGGGTGAGATAAAAAAACTGCAACATACTTCAGACTGCTGTCATTTCTAAGCCACTCGTCCGACAGATGTTAAAATTATTCCAGTGAAAGCTCATTATATTATTTACAAGCGTACAAATCCATTTTGGTGAGAATTTTCCAGAAAGAAAGTTATTCGTGAGGGTGATTTCTTTATATTTGGCCGGAAAACCAGAAGTGGCTATCGTTAGAGCACTCCAGCATTTAAATGTGAATAAATCTTTTGTGTCTCGTACCATCGCTCGTTACCGTGATAATGGTAGAGTTGCCCGACGTCAAGGAAATGGACGGAAGAAAACAGCAACATCAGCAGAAATGGTTCGAAAAGTAAACAAGCGACTTGATCGAAACCCGCGTCGCAGTGGCCGAAAAATGGCTCGTGAGCTGAACATATCGCAATATTCCATTCGGCAAATATTGAAAGATGAGCTCGGGGTAAAGCTATTGAAATTGAAATTTCAAAAAGTGCAAGAGGAAGAAAATTGACACAAAAGAGCCAAGAGTTGCTTCGCTTGGCCGAAAGTGGAGAACTGCCGAATTTGGTTATCTCCGATGAGAAAACGTTTGTTGTCTAGCAGTTTGTAAACAAACAAAATGATCGTGTTTACTTGCCAAAGAGGTCAGCTGAAAATGTGCACCTTCGGCTTGCCACCAGAACTCAAGCGCCGGCCATGGTGATGGTTTGAACCGCCATAACAGCCGATGGTCGCTCTCTGCTAGTATTAATCGACCGTGGCATCAGAATAAATGTCGGCACGCAAACATTTTGGCCGCAGACCTTGGCCATTCCAACAGGACTCCACCATCGCACACAGCACGCGCCACCCAAGAATGGTTACAAAATGAGGTTCCTCGCTTCATTTCCAGCGCACAATGGCCACCAAAATCTCCAGATACCAATCCGTTGGACTATTATGTCTGTGTATATTTTGCAGTAATAAATACCAAAGTGGCGATCACCTCAAGCAAGCGCTTCGCTGGCAATGGGCCAAAATGACGCAGAGCAACATTCGAGCAGCGTGGGCTGTTTCATTGGCCATTTGAAGGCCATAGTTCGTGCCAAAGGGGACCAATTCGAACAAATCTAAACTTATTCTAAAATTTGATGCTATTTTCGACTTTTTCATATTCAATAACAGTTTTTAAACCAGTAAAGAAAGTCTTAAAGTCGGGTGGGGCCGACTTTATGATACCCTACACCACTTTGCTAATTTAGTAGAGATCTGGATAACAATTAAAAGTACATACACGCTATGATTATAATTTAAAGTTCAAAGGACTGAATATGGCGAAACATTTGTATCTTTTAATTTCGGACTTGTATTACAATCTGATAAAGATATATATGGGAGCTATATCCAAATCGGAACCGATCTCGATAAAATTTGGCAAAGATATTTTTGATATATTTCCCTGAATATCGTCGTTACGGAGTGCATATTACAGCTGTGGGTAACAAATATAACAAATCGGATGAAGAGTATATATGGGATATATCTGAACCGATCTTCACCAAATTTGACATACTAGCTTCTAGACTCAATTCGGTCGTAAGTGTCAAATTCCATTCCATTTGGACAAATATTACACATTTGGTGCACAATAAAAGGTAAATCGGACGAAGTTATATATGGGAGCTATATTTAAATCTGAACCGATCTCGATCAAATTAAGCAAATGCATTTCTGAGTTGTATTTGATATATTCCCCAAAATATTGTTGTTACAGAGTGCATGTTACGGCTGCGGAGGACAAAAAATAAAAAATCGGATGAACAATATATATGGGAGCTATAACTATATCTGAACCGATTTCGATCAAATTTGGCATACTTTTTTTCAGGCCTAATCTGGTTGTATGTGCGAAATTCCATACCATTCGGCCTGATATTACACGTTTGGTGCACAATAAAAAGCAAATCGGACGAAGATATATATGGGAGCTATATCTAAATTTTGACCGATTATCTCCAATTTCAATAGGGTTCGTCCTTGGGCCAAACAAATGATTTGTGCAAAATTTCATATGGATAGGACAACAAATGCGAACTGTACCTTGTTTACAAAAATACATGAACAGACGGACGGACGGACATGCATAAATCGACTCAGAATGTGATTCTATGCAGATCATCAAAAGGAACTATGGGTCTATATCGTTTCCTTTTGCCTGTTACAAAAAATGCACAAAGATATAATACCTTGACTACCTTGTGGTGTAGGGTATAAAAAATTGACTGATACGTTTTAACTTGTACTTCGTAACAAGCATTAAGCTAAAAATACAATATCTATAGCATACTTTAAGGTCCATATAAAATGACATTTATGAAAAAATCTATGTTCGCAGAAACAATTAAAAAAAGTCAATGCAA